GTCGTGCCAGGAGGCCAAGTAGGCGGCACAGCGGTCAGCAGTTGCCGAGCGCAGCCTAAGTCCGCCGAGCGGCAAGTTGCGAGGCCTGAACTGCGGCGGATCGCCGGTGTGCAGCGGTTGAAACGCCTTCTTCGTGCATGAACATGATTCGCTGCTACAAACCCATTGCGGATGCTGACTGTACCTTCCACGTCGCTTCAGCTCAATTGTCAAGATCCGTCGCAGACGTTGGGGGTTCAAAAGCTCCTCTTTGCAATGCGAAAACACATCTCGGAACCGAGTCTGCCAGTAGACACGGCTGTTGTTGTCATGGAATTCGAGCGTTGATCGAGTGGCAGGCGATGATCTTGTTTTTCTGGTCCAACTTGCAGGGCTACGATGTAAGAGTGCGCGACGCCCGCATGAGCACTGCGCGAGCTCCTACCCTACCCCTAGCAACCCGCCTGGCACACTCCTCGACACGCGTGCGACAAGCCGTTTAGAAGGTTTGCCAAAACGATGCCGAGAAGTCACAACGCAAGTTGTCAGTGGCCAGAGTGACGCACGGTCTGACATGGCATCGCAGCAGAAAAAGGTGGGCGATTGCGCAAGTATGTGGAGAATGCACCCGGGATCCATGTCATCCATGTCCGAAAGACACATAGCATCCGGCCAGGCGTGACCGCGAGACATGCGTTGGTCACATCAATGGCATCATAGCACAGAGTCAGCCAATCGCAATATAGGCTTTCGATTTCAAGAGTGCAACGGCAAGACTTCCCCATCCCCGTGCCCGACGCGCCCGGGTAGGGATCGTCTGCGATGGCCTTAAGCCCCTCTGGCATGGGGCTCAGCTTGCTGTCGACACCACCGGCGTCAGCCCTGTCACTCGCTCCGGCGAGCCGCGGCCGGGAGCTGACAATCAGCCCGGCCTTGCCCTTCAGCAAGCAACGCGGCATAAGCGTCGAGACACCTACCTCGAGCTATCGCGTTCGCCGCGATGCCACCACGTGGTATTTGCTGTTGAGATTGGTGGATGCTGGGGTTCCGAGCCCGCCACCTTCCTGAGGCTCCTTGCACGAGCGCGAACTGCGCGTGCGCTCGCTGCTGTTCGGTCGGCTCTGCGTGCAGCCTGTGTGTCTCGCTGGAGCAGCGTCATCGCTGTCGCGGCGAGCTCCCCCTCGACACCGTCGCCTCTGCGGCCGGCGGACTGGCTGTGCATGAGGTCCTGAAAGATGAAGGCTGTCTCCATGCCCCAGCCCCCAGCCGACCCCGGCGAGTGCCTAGGTTCCCGGCGAGGTGTCGACTGCCGGCGCGAATTTGGACTGTATTTGCAGTGGGACCGCGCTCGTACTGGCAGTACAAAGTGTGAGAAAAAGGCACTGTGAATGGGTGATGGACAAATAGGAGGACCAACGCGGCACATCGAAAACGACAATGTGCCCAACCGGCTTTTGGGGATTGCACGCTTCGCGATTTTTGTTCGGTTGTTGAGCTTGTATGCTTTGTTTTAGATATTCGGCTCCATGGGCCAACATAACAACCAAGTAGACACCCCATTGCACAAGCCACCTTTCGAGGCACGCGCGCGTAAGAGTTTCTTCATAACCATAACATCACAGCTCCTAAGACCCCGTCAGCGCCCATGTAAACGCTCGATTCCACGCGCTTGCGACACATATCACTGGCAACACAACACATCAAAACCACTCACTCCCCATGTAAACCTTCGATTTCGCAAGCACTTATGAAAGAAACACATCAGTGGCATCGCAGCAAGCAGCAAATCATTGCCAACCATTCCCGATGAAAACGCTCGATTTCGCAAGCACCTGCTCACGAAACAGAACAGCGGCAGCAAGTCGAAACCAGCCAATTCGCATGTAGACGCTCGATACGATTGACCTCGATTGTGCGAGCAGCCGTTGAAGAAACACGCCCGTCATCGCAGCAGTAGCAGCAGCAGTAGCAGCAGCAGCAACAGCAACAAAAAACCAGCTTTCAGACGCTCGATTACGCAAGCACCAACTCGAGACACAAGTGGCATCGCAACATACCCGCGAACAGTACTGGATCGCGCAGAATCTACAGACTGCATGGGAAACAACATATGGTAGAGGTATGGAAAACTAGGCCAAACCCTGCGGCACATGGGGTTGCTTAAACATACCGGTAGTAGTTGAAAACGCTTGTCTTGCCCAAGTTGGCGGATATGCCTGCGTTAGCTCCAAGGCAAGGTGCGCTGGGGTTGGTCGGGCAGGAGGACGTACAGGTCAGCGAGGCAGGCCATGAGTGACTCACCCTGCCGCATGCAACTGCGAGTCTGCCCGGCGCAACAGATGGCGCAACGCCTCATGTTGGCGAAAAAGGCGGGGGCCAGGGCGTCGCCTTGTTCGCATCCCTCCGCTTGGCGTCTGCCGTGGCGGACCCGTCGTCGTCACACCGCTGGTATTCCGACCTCTGGCCACAATCAACGCACGCGAAGGGCACGATTGCAGGTGCCACGTCGCGCAGCTTGCATAGAAATGCGGCGCGGGATATGGAGTCGTTAAGCACTGCGCCCGTCCAACGAAACAACGGTGGCTCGAGCATCATTTCCCAGCGAAGTGCAAACTGGTATGGTTTTGTAACTTGGTCAACAATCGGCGCCCACGCGGCAGCCAGCGAGTGAGAGACGAGCCAACGAAACATGTCGCCCGTCGCACAACGCCACGCACACCACCTCCTGGCTTACGAATCGTGGCAGCAATATGTCACGCGGGACCTCAGCCTGTGCCAGCAGAGTAGCCGCCTCTGCAAGCAGCTCCATGCCATGTGCATGGCCTAACCTAGAATTTTGCAGGGCTCGGCTCCCGGGGTGCACTCCCGCTTGGCTTCGCGAAGGCTGCGCGCGACCGCGGTGGAAGTCGGGCGCACTCGCGTCGGTCAGCAGTTGGAGGCCGCGGCGACAGCTCGCCTTCACGTGCACGCGTGCAGGCGGCTTCTCGCGGTCGCTCGGTGGGCGAGGCCCGTGCAGCGCGCGCAGCTGCGCAAGAAACGCGGGCCAGAGTCCTTGTTCGTAGTGTTGGAATCGCATCAGAAGGATGCGGCGTCCATCACCACCCAGCTCGGCCAGCCGCGCGAGGAGCATGCTGGCTGCTGAGCGCCCGGCACACCCCAGCTCGGACGAAAATTAACGGGCAGCGTACCTCGGCACGGGATGGCGGAGCTCGTCACGTTGGTCGACGTCGTCAAGCGTGTCCAGGGTGAGAGGCTTCGAAATGCTGGGCATCAGGTAAAGCGGAAAACAGGAACAAAACATGCAAAACCACAGAAACAGAAAACAAACATCAAAAAACAACAAAAACAAGCTAGACCCCTTTTGTTTATTTCACATTAATCCTGCATCTTTGGCTTTCTGTCTTTCGTTCTTGCCTTCTCTTTCTTTCGCCGGGGTTATGGTGCAGGGGGAAGACCTCTTGCTTGCTTGCTACTGGCTTAGAGTTAGAGGAGTGAGAATCGTAACCCCCCCTCCCCACGCAGTGCGCGCAGCCAAGTTCCTGGTCCCGCAAAGGAACGAGTCTATTGTCGTTCTTTGCGACTGGTACAGAGGGGCGTTCCCTATGTTAGGGATCCCCCGAGGTCAAGGTCTGCATGGAGTTGGAATCGAACAATGAACTGAATAAACAACAGGGACTCCATGCGTCATGCTACGTCCCCCAGTACATGCAGACTGTAATGCAATACTGGGGGAAGACCTCTCTCTTTCTCTCTCTGTTTCATTCAAAGCGCCTTTGTTTCTGCCTGTATTTCCTTCTGTCTCTCGTCTGTTCCTTGATTCTTTGCATATGGCTTCATCTTTCTTTCTTTGCTTCGCTCCTTCTTTCCTTCGTTCCTTGTTTGGTTTAGGGCCCAGGGTCTTTGTTTCTTTCTTCCATTCTATCTTTATTCAGCATGGGGAGGCCAGGGGACCAGGGCGACCAAGGGACCAGAGGACCGGGGCAACCACGAAGTGAGACGATCAGACAGAGGACTAGAGGGACCAACAGACCGGGGAACCGGAAGACAGGAGACCAGAAGACCAGGGGACCAGGGGACCGGACCAGCAGACCGGGCGACCAGAGGATCACAGGCACGGGACCAGGGACCGCGGGATCAGGGGACCAAGGGGATCGGGAAAAAAAGGAAGCACAATCAAACGAATAAAAAGTTGGTAATGACCATTTCTATTTTCCAACCATGCACCCCCCCCCAGCACCCCAAACCATAACAACCTATACCTCAACCTTCAACCCATCCAAGAGCCATAGGTAGAACCCTAGGAATAACTCACCTGACGACCCAAAACCATAACAACCTATACCTCAACCCCAACCTCACCAAAAAAATCCATTTTATCGGTCAGTAGACTGATTGTTGACCGGGGTCCTGAGCGCGTGTTACTGTCGACTGCTGCTGCATCCACCGAACCTAGACCTAGTTGTGACAAATGCCCCTGTTCTTGCATGCAGGTTGACAGGTGAAACCCCGTCTCTGCAATGCTAAACTGCTAAACGACATGGCTTACGGCGTAACTGCGAGGGGAAATCTGCATCTTGGGCTACATGTTACACCACCTGCTACTATAGACTACAACTACGAAATGAAACTGAGAGGCAGCGGAAACGGACCATAGACGCGCCGTCTGCGATGCCAAGAAGTTAACCGGACCCGGGAAGCAACGGAGCAATGGCCTTTTTAGATGGCATAAAGCAGCGCTTTCAAAGCTGTCACGGAGGGAGCATGTGAGTCCGATTTCAGCTTGCCAAGCCTGCACTACCTACTCGTGGTTTCGCAAGAGTGTGATCATTGGCATGCATATTGTGGCTTGCATTTGTTGGACCTGCTCCCTCGGTCTACGGAAGAGTGGAAACGACGCTCAGAGTGGTCCGACACAGCCCGCTGATGAGTATGGATCATCGTGCAACTCACATCCTCCACCTCGTGCAGTCACATGATCGGTCTTAGACGCACTCTCGCTACCCTCTCCAAGACCGAGGTGCTCAATTGTCCAGGAAGGTCTTGCGGCTCGACAAGCCACCGCCGCCCCGGCCTGCCGGCGACTCGAACTGACAAGTCTGAGAGGAGAGCAAAGCAAGGCTGCACATCTTCAAGGAAGCCCAGGGCCTGACAGCGAGTCCTGCCAGGTGTTGTCCAGGTAGGCCAGGCCAACGAAGTCCCAAGTCAAGGGATTGCAGCAGACCTCAAGGGCCCGGTCGCGTTCTCCAACCCCACGTCACAGACGAATCCCACCCATCGCGCGAGCTTCGCGCCTGCTTCTCGAGGAAGGAGGTGTCGGCCGGTCCGATGAGCTTCTGTCCCAGGTCGAACTGTGCGAAGACGTCACGAGAGCCGTAGATGGCCTCAGAAACAGCTATGGCTCCAGATCCAAGGGTCAAAGAAAACATTCCCGCGCCTTTCGCAGACCGATCTCTCCAATGGCACCCCAGAGCACGGTGGTTGAGTACTGATTGATGCCTTGATGCCTGTCCGAATCTGTCAGCTGTCAACCCTCAACAAGGTCTGAAGATGCTGCGGATCCAGGACGGCCTCTCCCACAAAGCTATACCGTCCATCAAACCACTGGCGCCTGTTCCGGGTCCTTCACTGCTGTAGCCTATGACCCCATCTTCAAGCGAGAGGGCGCAGGATGCCAGACATGGGCCTTATCAAGCCGGTCCTGATCCTCCTTGGCCCATGTACACGGAGATTGAGGAGAAATGCACGGTTTTGTTGATGGTCGTGGCCGTGCTGAGCCTCGCAAGT